AAGGATTGAACTCACAACCCTGGGTTTAACAGGCCAATGCTCAAACCACTGAGCTATCCCTCCCCCTTCAATGCAGAGGCCTTCCTAGCAGTGTAGGTGAACTCCTAACCGGTGTTGCAGAGAGCCACAAAATAATCGTGCAGTGCCTTAGCACCGCTACTGCTAACAACTAATGGAGTCTCTCCTTAGCTCAAGTGATAGGCACCTGTGTGTTTGGAACAGGAGCATCTGGACCTCTCCTTGCGGTCACTGCGACACTCCAGATGGCCTAGTGTGCAAAATAAAGAACCAATCATGTCCTTGATGGCCATACGTTCATTAGAGTCCTGATGCCCCTTGCTAAAACCAATTGAGATAAGAACGTCCACTAAATAGACAAGACAACTTTGCCTCCATCACATCGGGTATGTCTACACTACAGGATTACTCCGAATTTACAGAATTCGATTTTTGGCAATCGATTGTATAAAGTCGAGTGTATGCGGCCACACTAAGCACGTTAATTCGGCGGTGTGCGTCCATGTACTGAGGCTAGCGTTGACTTCCAAAGCGTTGCACTGTGGGTAGCTATTCTATAGTTCCCGCAGTCTCCTCCGCCCATTGGAATTCTGGGTTGAGATCCCAATGCCTGATGGGGCCAAAAACATTGTCGCGGGTGGTTCTGGGTACATCCTCCCCCTCCCTCCGGGAAAGCAATGTCAGACAACCGTTTCGCGCCTTTTTTCCTGGGTGAACAGTGCAGACACCATACCTCGGCAAGCATTGATTGCTCTGCTGTCGTGTTCTGTCCCTTTCCGTTCTCCTTTCTCTTATCTGTTCAGATTGTAAACTCTTCTGACTGTCTCATTGTGACTGGAAGAATGAATTCAAACGGGAACTCATACAGGGAAGGGCTACTAGGATGATCTGAGGAATGGAAAACCTGTGTTATGAAAGGAGACTCAAAGAGCTTGGCTTGTTTAACCTAACCAGATGAAGGCTGAGGGGAGATATGATTGCTCTCTATAAATATAGCAGAGGAATAAATACAAGGGAGGGAGAGGAATTATTTAAGCTCAGTACCAATGTGGACACAAGAACAAATGGATATAAACTGGCCATCAGGAAGTTTAGACTTGAAATTAGACGAAGGTTTCTAACCATCAGAGGAGTGAAGTTCTGGAACAGTCTTCCAAGGGAAGCAATGGGGGCAAAAGACATATCTGGCTTCAAGACTCATCTTGATAAGTTTATGGAGGGGATGATATGATGGGATAGCCTAATTTTGGCAATTAATTGATTTTGACTATTAGCAGGTAAATATGTCCAATGGCCTGTGATGGGATATTAGATGGGGTGGGATCTGCGTTACTACAGAGAATTCTTTCCTGGGTGTCTGGCTGGTGAGTCTTGCCCACATGCTCAGGGTTTAGCTGATCGCCATATTTGGGGTCGGGAAGGAATTTTCCTCCAGGGCAGATTGGCAGGGGCTCTGGGGGGTTTTCGCCTTCCTCTGCAGCGTGGACACAGGTCACTTGCTGGAGGATTCTCTGCACCTTGAAGTCTTTAAACCATGATTTGAGGACTTTAATAGCTCAGACATGGGTTAGGGGTTTATTACAGGAGTGGGTGGGTGAGATTCTGTGGCCTGCGTTGTGCAGGAGGTCAGACTAGATGATCATAATGGTCCCTTCTGACCTTAAAGTCTATGACTTCTGTTAGTCTTAAAGGTGCCACAGGACCCTCTGTTGCTTTTTACAGATTCAGACTAACACGGCTATCCCTCTGATACTTGACTCTCTGACTAGGGTCCCAGGGGGGCCACGCTGAAATTGTTCAATTAGGGCAACCTGCAAAGAATGGGGCAGACAATCCCCAAAACCGGTGGTTATTCTTGTACTTAGATTTGCCAAACCAGCAACAAAACAGCTTCTACAACACCTTACTGGTTACCCAGATGCCAAAACACAGTTCCCTTCAAGCAACCCAGCCTCGGGCTTCCACCCAGACAACCAAGTCAAATATAAGGATTACTGAAAATCTTGTTCATCATATAAAAAGTTCTACCAATCCCAAAGGATTGGACACATTACCCATCAAATGAATGAATAGTTCAGATTTTACCCAAATTCATGCTTCCCGGTGGTGGTGGTGGTGGTAGGGGGGTGTTAGCCCATGTTCCTTCTCTTCCTGCCAGGCCAGAAACTGGTAGCATGTCCTGTGGGGCAAAGGCACGGGCCGGCGGCTGTTCTTGGGCACCCTGGTTTCTGCCCAGAGCAGGTGGAGGGTCTGGGGCTCCCCACAGCATCCTGGGCGGCTCTGACTTCCTAGCCTAGCTGGGGGGTGGGGGCTCAGGCAGTCAAGGAGGAGCAGGGGGCATGGCCACAGAGAGGAGTGGGGCCTATGGGCAGTGGGTGAACCATGGGCTCGGGGAGGCTAGCCCCTTCTGCCCAAGGCCCTGCCCTTCCCACCCCCGCCGGGCTGCCTGAACACCGCCAGCCCCAGAGCGCTGGGCAGGCAGTGCCGCCCCCCCAGTCCCAGTCCCAACCCCCCGAGCAAAGGGCAGGCAACCCCAGCCACCACAGGCCAGCCAACCTAGCCCCAGCCCTAGCCTGCTTCCCAGAAGAGTAGCCACCGGCCTGGGCTGGGGCCAAGGGGGAAGTGGCAAGCAGGAGGGGACCTCGGGGTGGAGCACGGGCGGGGCCACGCGGGGCTGTTTGGGGAGGCACAGCCTCCCCCAGCCTACTATACATGCCGCCCATGCAGGGGGTTCCTTCATGTGTCCCGCTTTGCTTTTCGAAAGGGTGGTCACTCCAGTTCTAAATAGAATGAAGCCTGAGTCACGATCATGAGTTAGGCTTAAAAACTTTACTAAGAAATTGCTGTCGGTGCTGATTCCTGGGCTCCGGCTGGCAGCCCTGGCGGGCGGACAGGGGCAGCCCCAGCTCTGGGGGAGGACAGGGGAGCCCCTCCTTGTGGACCCCTTCCCCCAGGAGAGGCTCCTGCTGTCAGCCAGATGTATGCCCTGAGAGCACCCTAAAGGCTCAGAGACCAGAAGGGAAATAAAGAGAACCCACGTTTCATTTAAAAACATCTTCATGATTTTTAAGCTAATTTCATTATTGGGGGGGGGGGGTCTGACTCATGATTTTCCAAGGCCCAGGGTTGGCAACAGCCCTGTGTTCTTCAAGGAAGGCGCTCCTGGGGACGGTGCAAGATGCATGCATTCCTGGGCCTCCTCCCTGCCAGGGAGAGGTGCAAGGTGCCTGCACAGCTGGACCCCAGGGAATGCACCCCAGGGGGAGGTGCAGGGTGCGTGAATCCCCTGGAGCTCATGCACCCGGGGGAGTGGGCTGGCCCAGTCCAATCCCTTACCTTACTGCAACCCTTCTGCTCTGCAACCCGGGGCACACACAAGGTGCATGCAATCCCTTGGGGCTCCGGGCCTGCGGCGGGAGGTGCAGAGGGAGTGCAATCTTCCAGTCAGTGAACCCCGGGGGCGGGGTGCAGGCATCCCCTGCAGCTCCGTGCACCCGGCGCGGGGAGCAGGGTCCATGCATCCCTTACAGCACCGTGCACCCGGCGGGGGAGGGGGTGCAAAGTAAACACATCCCTTGCAGCTCTGTGCACCCGGCGGGGGGTGTGCAAAGTAAATACATCCCTTGCAGCTCCGTGCACCCGGCGCGGGGTGCAGGGTCCATGCATCCCTAGGACTCCGCACCCCGGTGGGCCGAGCTGGGTGCAAACATTTCCTCCCCCCCCCCCCGCTCATCCCGGGGACGGAGAAGGGGGGGCGGTGCCAGGCGCATGCTCCGCGCTGCCCTTTAAATCCCCCGCTGCGGGCCCGGCCGCCGCCGCACGTGCTGATCCCCGGGGAGCCGCCTTCTCCTCTCCGGCGCGGGCGCTGCCATGTCCCACGAGTCGGACCCCGGCCGCCGCCGGCGCTACACGCACGACACCTTCGGTGAGCGGCGGGGGCTGCCTGGCCCGGGGCAGGGCGGCGCTGCGAGCCGGGGATGCTCCGCGAAAGGCCTGCGCCGGGGCCGGGTGTTTGGGTGCGAGCCGCGGGGAGCTCGCTGCGCCCCTAGAGCCTCCCCCGCCCCGTGCTGGGCGCCCCAAAGGGCCCCCGGCTGCAGCTAGCGCTGGGGTGGGGCAAGCACGGGGCGAGCCTGGGCTCTAAGCGGCGAGCCGCTGTCAGGTGCAGCGAGGGGGGAATCCAGCTCCCACTAGCCGGCCCCCGAGCTGGCCACTGGCCGCACCTGCTGCCTCCTATTCCCAGCACCCCCCCTCGCCGGTGTGCGTGAAAACAGGGGGGTGTGAAAACCAGGGCTGCTGCAGCCCCGGCCCAAGGGGCTCTGGGGCCAAGCCAGGCTAAATCTTGGCTCCAGTGATGCCGCCCAGAGCCTCTCCTGGGCAGAGCAAGGCGGAAAACAGCTGGCCCTAGCTTTAAAAAAAATTCTCTGGCTTGTTTCTATTCGCTGGCCAGCCTCTGTAATGTATAAATAAATCACTGCGCCCTAGAAAAGTGACTGACGCTGGCTTCATTCAGGTCCCCAATCTCCGGCGCGTCTGAGGCTTTACAGCCCCTGAATAATAACCTCTGAAATCCAGTGAAAAGTTCTATGAGGTGCCGATTCCCCTGCAGCGTGCTGGATGCTAGCGCGGCGTCCTGCTAGTGTAGGAGAACCGTGAACTGAGGCTGTGTTTGTGCATGGGGTGCATAAGCCTTCCTGGAATATAATATTTGGGCTAACCGAGCGAGTGTATCTTGCTGTGTGTTTTGAGTGAAACCTGTTTGCATCTGGTAGGTAGCCCGCCTTCCCCCCCTTGTTAGGTGCAAGGGCTGGGCCTAGTCCTGGAGAGCTTAGTCTATGGTCCATCTGTGGAGTACTGTGGTTGGGGAACAACAAACAACTTGGGTGTGGTGCTTGCTGTGACCCTAGTCTAAGCAGAACTGTGTCTGTAAGAGAAATTTAAATGCTCCTCTAGTTAGGAGACTTGAGGATGAGCGCAGAAGTATTGCCAACCCCAAACAGCCAACAATCATGGCATTGGCTTAAGAATCGTGAGATTTTTAAAAATATTTTGTAGTTTTTCAATTGCCTTCTAGTTCTCTTGCCCCCTCTCTTCCTCCCCTCCCCCCAGTCTCTAGGGTGCACAAGCTCCGAATTTGCACGTTTTTATCTGCAACCGTAAGGACCAGAAACTTTAATGAAAGCTGATATTTTCGGGCAATAGCATGATTCCAGCAGCTGGGTCTTTAAGGAAAAAAAAATCTAAAAACGGTGAGACCGTCAATAACATGGTGAGAGTTGGCAACACTGGTGAAAAAATAAGCTTCGACTCCTAAAAATTCTTTCAGTTCCATTATCTAACCCATTCACAAGTAAGCTTTAAATGTATGGCTTTATCTTGGACGTGCCCCTTCTTTGTCCGGCTAAGCTGCCCTATTGTATTAGTGCCTGAAAGAAGCGGTTATAAAGCATGAATAGCTCTGACTCAGAAGACCAGATGTGTAGTCAGATTTTATGAGGCTGAAGGCAGGGGCGCCAGTAGGGCTTAGGAGGACGGGTCAGTGTTGTACAATATAGAGCTAGGCGCTGCAAAGGGCAGTCAAGCAATATTTCTGTGTGTAGAGAGATTCTGGGGACCCAGGGCAGGTTCAGACAATGCCGACTTTGAGGTCCCCTTTTTTGGCACCTAAAGGTAGGTAGATGGGGTGCATGCTGGAAAGGAGCCCGATCTGCCCTTTGACACCCCTGGAAACTGATTTTACCTAGCACCTTTTGCCAACAAACAGGGTGGGGGAAGAGGATCGATACCCTAAACATAAAGGGGAAACTGAAACGATTTGAAAGCCATACGCTGTTGGAGGTGACCAATGGGTTAAACCAGCTCCAGGCGCTGTCTCTGAAGCCCCAGGACTGTATCTGTCTAACTGGTGTAACCTTGATGGTATAATTGATTAGTTTGGTGAAGATCATGTGAAGCCACTTCCAAACCAGCCCTGTGAGCTGTGTTTTGTTATCCTGGCTGTCATCTGATTCACACTGGGACTGTTCGTTGGGTGAGAGTATAACTTGGTTGGAAATTTTGTATTGCTTGATCGGTCCTCTGCTCGGGTGGCAGCAATAGTCGAATTTTCCCGGCCCACCCTGAAACAGATCTATCTAGGCCAAACCTGCCAAGGTCTGAACGAAAACAAGGGGGCTTTATAATGTCTGCGGGGAGGGGTGGAATCTGGGACCCCTTTCCTTGCCCAAAGGTAACCTTCCGATTACCCCTGTCTAGAAACAGCTAGTCCACCATTGCCTCTAACCCAG